CTCAGCCCCGAGGAAACGCTGTAGGTAGGTTGTAATTACGACCAGTGCCAGGCTAGGCTCGGCCGCGGGATTAAGGGAATATGAGGAGCGTAATTCTGCGGAACGTCGGGACCTTAATTACGCAATCTCGCGGAAAGGATGAAATTTATAAACACCAAATTTCGAGACGCACGGAAACGAGAACTACGAACGAGGAGAAAGGTCGCAAAAATTACGACTGGAAGGTGATGAATGTTCCGTTAAAAGAATGTAACCTCGTATAAAGAGAGATACGGTGCTCGATTAACATCATTTGGCGCAGGCGTGACGATTAATACGGCTTTAACGAGACTCCGCTCTTCTCCCGCCTTCGTGCAAAGGTAAGCGCCCAGCTCCGAGACGACGGCTAAGGTACGGCGGGAAACGCTCAAGAGACGCTGTCCCCGCGGTGCTCGGCTTTAATACCCCCGTATAATCCTATTACGATACCGAAATGCTCCTATAATGTCTACCAGCCGGAGATTAAGACCGGCGCGAGTCATGAGAATCGGCGGCGGCAGGCCAGGTTGTACATAACGCGGCATTTCGCGGGCGTAAAACTCGAAGATGCGAATAGGGGATAGGTGAACTACGCCGTGCCGGATTTTAATTTATGTCGTGAGAACGGCACGGTTGCGAAAGTCTTTCTTCGGCGCGGCGATAACTTCGGACACGCCTCACTTCTCCGCTCGTCGCGTCGCTTTCCGTACCGTTACTTTTTCCGCGATAATGGCACCGTCCGATTAGCGCGGCACGTCCTCAACGACAGAAAGTTAAGCGCGCGCGTCATACCGTCCTGAGAAACTCGCGTCCCCGTGTTGGAAATCCCGTCGTAAAGTTACCCGTGTTAATTCCGAGCCATCCACGGAAGACCCGAGGAACCCACTTAATGATGCTCGTGCAAATAGAATAGTCTATTAGGATCTTTTATCGACTTCCCACACCGCCCGAGTGTTCCATTTCGCGCTCTTTTCTCTTATCGGTATCTTATTATCGATTTTCCCAGGCTTCAATTTTGTAGAAACCACACACATCGATCTGTAGCGGCGTTAATTGCACGATAAATTAAACAAGCGCGCTAATATGACGAAGAATGCTAATTACAGTCGTGGATCAAGCGACATCTTCCGACGTGTTTTATCGAGGTCGATTATAATATATTCAGATATCGTTCAATCTTGCGTAAGCTTAGCTTACGTTTTTAGGCCATTCTACCTGGGTTACCTGTTTGGGTACCTGCCTGGGTGGATTCAGCATCCATCGATATAGCGGTTCTTGAACATTTTCGTCGGCAGGTCGTCCATGGTACGAAAATCTCTCGCGATATCCAAACAAGACTCCTCTCTGTCTCGCCTTGTTTTTCTTTTCGCTTCTCGTTTAACCACAGCGCTCGGAAGGAACAACAAATTCTATTCTCCTAATTTTTCGTTGCGGTATGGTTGTACAAACTACTGTTCGGGGTATCTTCGCACTTCCAACTCGCTACAAACCATGGGTTTTCCACACGATTAGCGAGCTTCACGTGAGCAGAAATACGCGTTCGCGGATAAACGGATGCGTGAAGCGCGAATCGTATAAATTATGGTCTTTTTGGTCGACCCTGCTGGCACGCCGTTACGTATGCCCATCGGACGGACAGGCCATTACATTTAGACAGCCGGGCTTAAAGCAGCGCAACACGCGGACCGAGCGCGACGCGACGTGCAGGCACATTTCGTACAAGATGCACGTGGATCGCGGGTGTATCTCAGTGAGAATTTCATGTCAGGTCGCTTCATTGTACGCGACTCGCGTGTGTCCGACGTGTGTATCCGCGAGATACCGTAAGATTAATGCGTAGATGTTCCAGGGAAACGACATCGAAATCGCGAGGCTTATGGAGTTACTCAAGTGAAGTTACGATTCGGAGAATTTCAATCATTATCTCACTTCAGTCCCCTGGATCGTTAAAATTATCATAATATTTCAAGACTTACCCCAATTTCGTTGCTGTGTTGGACATTTTATCGATTCAACGGCATTTTCTTCTTCCCGCGAAACTTTAAATCCATTAAATTTTTTTGTAATAATCAACGCGATATAATTAAATTCCGAGTGCAGTATCCTCACGGATGGCAGTGACTCCACTCATTCGCTTCGTGTGCATTCGTTATTTCGCGAAACACACGCTTAAAGTATCTTTTACGGCTAATAACGCGGAGTTTATTACGCCTGCCGGTGTCCACGCGATCTACGCGTCCGGCAAGCGTGTTGCATTACGTTCCGTAATCTGTGGCACCAATTAACGCGATCCACGTCTGTTATTGTTATTCAACGACACGAGGAGCCGAGGGGACCGAATCCAGGCCTCAGATCGTAAAAGGCACGGCCGTCTTTCTTCCTACCTTTCTCTTTCCTTCTCTGGCAACAGAGACGACACGAAACGACGGGGGACGCGCTCCGATAAATTATTCATGGCCTAGTCGAGTCGCGCTGCGCCCTAGACTTTTATATAAATTTTTATAGGTCGCGCAGAGTGAGGAGGTTACATCTCTTCGGGAACGACTCGCGATTTCCTCGTATCGATCGATCGACGTGCTCGTCGACGATGCGCACTGGACACGCGCTCCCTCCTTCATCAATAAATAATGCAGGCAACGAAGCGAACGGCTTCTAGTTCACTCGCGCGATATCAAGATGAATTTAAGCGTAATAATTCTTACATTTCGATCGCCTCGAAGTGGTTTATTCAGTGCCCGTTCCGAAGTCTAATCGACGATCGCGACGGCGATACTTATCATCCTACCCGCCCAGCCCAGCGTTAAATTAATCGCACGCCCGATACAATGGTAAACAAATCATTTATCTCGGGGATAACTCATACTTTCGTAAGTGCGCGACGCGTATCGTCCCTATCCACACGACCCCTCCGCGTACTCCAGATATTAGCGGCGATAACGAGCGAGATACGAGACGCGTCTTGAAAAATTAGCACGGATAGCAGCGATAACACGGACGCGCCTCCGTCCGTTACTCCGCCGCGAGTTCCTCGATCTTCGAATAACACACGATCGTGCTTCGGCCAACGGGAACAGGCATTCTCGCCGTTCTCGCACATATCCCGCGCGCGCAACACCGCGGGTGCACACCTCGAAAACGGCGTGTACATAGCGCGTAATAAGCGCACGGACAACGAAGCGGTCCGGCCGCAACATCAAGTACGCCTAACTACGCGTCAAAGTTATTACTATCGCGCTAATCACCACGCCTCACGGTAGTAGAAATATATGTATATATCGCTCCACTCGTGCCTTCGTATTACCGATCCGCTCTCGGGATTACGACCTCTGTCGCTGTCCGTGATTTGTACCTCTCCGAAGGCGGCCCGGCCTTCCTCCAGCCTCCCAAGAGAGGAAGAAATAGAAGTAAGGAAAAAAAGAGGCAAGGAAAAGAGAGAGAGAGAGAGAGGGAGACGCGGAACGGATCTAATACGTTGGCATAAACAAAGTGACCCAAGGGGATCGAACTAACCGGATCGTTAAATACCAGAATCGTCGCTCGGATTTCTCCCGCGCGTTCCGCAACGGACACCCGGTATGCCACGGAATCTCGCGCGGGCACTCGCGCGACGTGAACGGCAACACGCCGAAGGATGTAGAAAAAAAGCGCTAATGAAAGATACGACGTATGTAAAAACGGTCCACCCGTCGTCTCCAATGTTTACTCAAGAACGCCGTTGACGAGGGAATACAAACGTCTCTCGCGCTGGTACGCGATGAGAAACAGGCGATACTTTCCGTTTCTTCTTTTTTTTTTTTTCTTTTTCCTCCACGTATTTATTCGTGCGTATTATTCGCTGTAATCGCGTGTGTGAAAATATGACATGCGCGCATGTCGATACGGCTCGTAATGTTGCGATGCGACACAGTCAAATGGCGATGATGATTTTGTCGGGCTCTAAATGATGCGCGGTACATTTGCTGGAATAATATTATTATCGGAGCTGCTCCATGTCTGCGATAATAATGAGTAGTTACGAAAATACGAATTATTAATGCGCACACGTGTCTGTAATGCCCACTGTATTACCGGGGTCAGTGCTTCCGCGATAATAATGTTAAAGAATGTCAGTAATCGGTAACAACAATCTTATCATAGATCGAGATAAAAAAAATTAATCGTTAAACCTGACTTGCAATGTGTATTTGATTCGCGTTGTGACGTTTGAACAATCGATCACGCAAACGATAAACGTAAACACACGATTACGAATCAAATATTATATAACGAATTGTGCGAAAATGCTGACGTCATTATACAGCGTTATACACACGTTTACGTTACGCGAAGAGGAAATCTGACCTTGGCTCGAGACTGTGGTCATTCGTGACGAACACGTGTAAACTCGACCTTTCGTCCCCAAATAAACAAAGAATCACGGCGGCCTGTCCGAGTCGAAATTTTAATCCTACGTTAACGCAGAATCTCAATATTTCGTATCATAAGATTATTGTGCGATGCCAACTGATTACTGACTGTTATTTATTTCATGTTGGGGCTCAAAGAGATCAATAGCTAAAATAAACTTTCTTTTTCCATAATCTTGTTATTTTTCATTAACCTAGAGAATTTCAACAGAATTCGATGATTTAATAGCAAGAAGGAAGAAAATTTACCGATAGAAAAGACAGTAATTACATCTTGAAAAGCATCGGGACAATTTATATCCGGCGCGATAACAAGGCTGAACAAAAGGAAGGACGCCAGCAGATTCAAGATGGAGTTTATTACGGCACGTTATTAGACCCACAAATCAGTGCCAGCGAGACTTATAATGGAGTCGAAATTTCGACTTGAGTGGCAACGCGCGCGACTCCGGGACACAGAATCACCACGACGAGCTAGTTGCTCCTTAACCTCAATTAGATCTCGCTTGGTCGGCTGTGTCCGCCGTCCAACGAAAAAAGCCCCGCCGTGACAACGAAAACAGACGCGTCACATACCTGGCGCGTTTTTTGTCGTTCACCTCCGGCTCCGGAAAATGGACGTCGGGAATCAGCAATCCTGCAGCTCCATGGGAGCATCAACGTCTCGACTCCGCATACGAACGAGTGTCCGAGCGTCCCGCCGTCAGGTTACACGAATGTCACACAAAAGTCGCCCGGGCGCACCATGAAAGCGACCGCGCGTGTCACTGTTCCGGGACGCGTCGGATATCCATAGAAACGTCCTTCGGGAGTAATCGACTGAACTTGACGGCGGTTACGTAGGAACGAACCGCGAGAAAGACGCCGCGTATCGCACTGGAACACGATGCGTCGTCACGACGATTCACGTATTTGCGCGCGGGGATAGCCGGGCGATTGAAACACGCCGGGGATTTCGACTGTGCGAGACTGACTGGTGGTCAAAACACCGTCGACGAGCACGAAACGTGTACGATACGGACGACGGCTCTCGCGGGACTCCGCGCGTCACTCGCTCTCTCTCCCTCTCGAGCGGCACTATGGCGCGCGGTAGTGGGGCTAGTTTGAAAGTTCGCGCAGGCGCCGCTAAGTTGGCGCCACTTGACGTTACATTGAAACGAAAGGGTGAGACTGGCGGTGCGGAATCGACGGTGACATTTGCGTTATTTCGCGTATAAATTCTTCAAAGGGCGACCACGAGACTCGAAGGGGAGGCGACCTGGATGTTCGGTGGACGCAGGTTGCAACGTTATATCACTCGTCCGAGTCAATCTATAAATCTATTTGCGAAACGACGTCGTGTGGCTATCGCGCTTTGCTGCGGTGAATACGTGCAATGGGAGAGAGAAAAAAAGACAGAGAGAGAGGGAGAGAGAGATGGACGGAATAAAATGAATCCTCCGACTCTCCCCGCGGCCTTAATATCTACCGTGATATTATCGACGCCTGTTCTACCTTTCAGATACCGTTCGATCTCGGAGGAGAGGCGGGAAGGCGCGATCGCACGTTCTTTATTCATTTAAAAATCGTCGTCATTTGAAGTTTCATTTGCTCCGCGGGAGATCTCGCGCGTAATAATCGTAAACAATTTCTAACGCGTGGAGCGGCACCGTTAGAAATTTCCCGCGGGTACGGACGAGCGTCGAGTACGATGCAAAAGCCGCGTCGCTGCCGAGCAGCAGCGGCGAGTATCCCCGACAGTTGCGGGAGAACACGGCTCTCTTCCGACTGTCGAGAAATCTGAGAAAGCGGGAGGACGAAACCGGGCGCGAGACGAAGTTCCTCGAAACAAAGAATATCATTGCCGTCCGATGCTCCGATACTCCGATGGTTCCGGTGCGTCGGGGACTGAAAATCGCTCCTCAAGTGGAATCCACGTCGGAGACGCGGCGGCCGTTCTCCGCGCTGTCCTTCCATCTCCTCGCCGTCGGTAAACAGGAGCGAGATAAGCGACCAGAAGGGACCTGTCATCCGTGACGGAGTACGTCCCGTCCCAAGGCTCGCTTCAAGGACGATAACCCTTCGTGCATCGGAGCCGCCTCGAACTGGACCCGATCGAGGAGAGAGCCGCTTCTTCACCTCCGTCTTTCCCCGCCCGGCCTCGTTCTTTCTCCCTGTCGCGCCCTTATGTGTCTTATTTCGAGAACAGGATGATTACGCGTTTACGATCTAGGTTCCCCGCTACCTGCACCCGCTTCGCCGGAGTCGAAGGTGAATATATATTATCGGCAAAGAGAGAGAGAGAGAGAGGGAATCCGGGGGAGGTAGTATACGTCGACGCAACGTGGCCGTTCTCGCGTGAGCGAGCTCAGCGGCAGGGACGAGAGAGGAGGGTTCAAGGACGAAGGAGAATCGGAGGAGCACCTTTACTATATGGGAAGGTTGCGTGGGGGGTCGATGCGCGCGCGCACGCACACACACACACACACACGGTGTGTGTATACACCTCGACGCGGTCGGGCAACTGTTTGCGTGGAGCGCTTTCGGGTCGGCGTAATCCGAATTCGAAACCTGTTCCTGCCCCGTGGGTCAACAACAACATCCTCCTACATCCTCCCAATTCCCATTCTCTCTTCCAGACCTCGACCAGATGCACGAGCCACTTCCATCGAGTCCGCGTATAAAATCCGGTATCAAGTGCTCGACCGGCGGTTACGTTATTTTCCAGGGTTTTATAGCTCTATTCCGCGTGCCGGTGGTCGACCGAAACGCTACGAGAACCGTGTGGAGCGTCGCGTGAAAGTGCCGATGCACTCATCGGAGCACTCCTCACGGATTTACGCCGGCTAAAAACGCCCGCGATCCCCGGTACGGGCGAGATACGGTAGGGTTTTCAGAAGAAACAAAAACAAGTTTCTCGCCGATCCATTCCCGAACCGTTCTCTCCGAACTTATACGAAAGATGAAAGTGATTTCTCTTCTACAAATATTTTCCCTTCCAAACGTGAAAATAATACTAGGAAGAATGCCCTGAGACAAAAGGAGAGATACGTCGCAGCAGTTCGTCGATTGTAATCCGCCGAGGAACGCGCAACGGAGTCCCGTGAGACGGGAAACGTCGAACGCAGCGCGACTCCAGTCCGCTTTCACTCCGAGCGTAAATTGCAATCGCGTCCCGCGGGATGCGTCTCTCCTCCGTGCTGGGACTCACTCCGTGACGAATCAATTAAGGGAGCCTCCCATACGTATAATTATTCGGAACCAAAGGAAGCTTACAAGTCAGCGTTCGACGATCCTGTCGATATCCTGTACACACCATCGCAGGAGGCAAGGCGATCGCAATTCTCGCTATGAGCTCTCTCCATAGTCCAAAGAGTACTAAAACGGACTACTAAATCGCTTTATAGCGTACTTCTCGATGATCTATGCACGATTCATTTCTTATCATCCGTATAATGCACGTTGATTACCGATCAGCAGCCGTGATCGATCGGAGGTGCGTTTTTATGCATCCCCTTCGTGAGAGACTCCCGTCTGTCCCGTACGATTTGTACGATTCAATGAGCGGAGCGAAGAAGCGTCTGAGAGTAGCGAACCGTCGCTTTGAGACTCTTAGCGCTCGTAAAATTGCGCTTTGATAGACTAAGGGAGGAAGTTCGAGTAGCTGCAACTTACTTTCAATACGCTCGTTAGCGGCTATAAGGTTTTAGACGGAAGCGGAGGAGCCGGTGAGCCGATTTAAATGTCTTATCGAGTGTCATTCGAATAATGCGGGTCATTGTTCGCGTATCGGCGCTCATGATTCGCGAGCGGTAATGATCGTGAGAAACGTCTCAAGCCGTCGATATGCGTGCGAAGTTTTAGATTGCCCAAGTAGAATTATGTAACAGTGCCGACGCGTAATCACACGCACCTCTACAGTCTCGAAATGTGAACAAACTTAACGTGAAATGATATAAAATTCGAATTCAACGGAAAGATTCAACGAAAGAGAAGCACGGATTTTTGCGTTTAAACACTTCAGAAAATCGCACGATAATACACTGAGAGGAATAATAAGAAATAAAAAAAAAAGCATTCATTCGGTGGGCATTGATAACATATATTTATTTATATTAATATACAAATTTTTACACTAGGAGAAATTTTTCAAATAATATACATTTTCTTAAATCTGTAGCTTCTCATGTGCGGGAGCAATTGTTTATTCTCTATATTGAAAAGGATTTAAATGAAAAGGACTTATGCCTGTGAAAATATGTTATTAGTACTTATCGAATAAATATTTCATATTTTTTAGATACTTTTTCTCTCAGTGTATACACACGTACATACTTAGATGACGCGGAGGATCTTGCGGACGCATCTCGGGAAGAGAAGATTGAAATTCACGCAATGAAAGAGCTTACCGCGATGCACTATGCACTTAAGAGTTAATACCTCTGGCTTAATTGCTCCCGCTTGCGACGCACAGGCCCCGTTACGCAATTGTAACATAAAGAAAGGGCGTGGGCCAAATGAGCCGATGGCGAACAATTAGTACGTGAAACGGAGCGCGTTGCGGGTGCGATTATCTCAAAATCGCCTTTCACGCTACGGTGCGCGTCTCGAAATCCTGGCCAATCATTATCGCGCTTCTCGTATTAAGCGTTTCGTAGCGAGAGATGACCTTACGCCCTCTTATCGCTAAACCGTATTCCTTTCTTGACACGGGCACGTAACGAACGTCGACGGAACGTATGCCTACGCGCGATCGCGCCGCCGACAGCATGCGAATAGACTCGCCGATGACGATGATTTCACCTCACCGATCTCCGGTGGCGATGATTTCACTGAATTTCTAATTCTAATAATAATCTCAAGAGCCTAACAATAATTACGAATCACGCGCGCGGGAAAAAATTATTATCGATTCAAGAATCATATTCTCATATACGGGGTGTTTCATAACGTGTGGACATATTTCCAAAAATATATATATATATTTATAATATATATTAGCGGAGTACATCAATGTCTACCGTTGTATTGTAAACCATAAATCTTGCATGAAGGTAAAGCTTGCTTACATGAAGAGATTTTACATAGTTTCACTAAAAATATCATTCAATTCTTGTCATTTAAGGATACTTTTTATGAAAGGACAAAATATTGCATAGAAAGAATATCTTCAAATTAAGAATTGTATAAATTCTTTTCTCCCAATATTTCTTCCCCTTTATTCGTGAAAATTATTCTGAAGCAACACGAATATATTTTTAGTTCAACTATATCGAATTTCTTCGTGTCTAAGAGCAAGCTTTCTCTTCATATTGTATATTCTTGCTCATACATGACAACATAAGTCTTGAATTGATACTAATTTCTTTTTCTGTTCTGTGTTCACGCTCATTTCCGAATAATTCCGGCTGATTACTCGGAGTGGGTTGCGATCGGAGAGGATGTCGTTCGTGTACGGCGATATTGTGTTAAATTTGACCGAAGGTAACGCGCGGCTAGCGGTACCAGAATGCAAAATCATTAGCTGAATTTTATGCCCGATTCAGGAACATATCGCGCACGAGACGGAGACAGGTCCGTAATGAAGATTAATATCTGTTAGAACCCCGAGACGAGAAGCATCCTCGAATCTATTAGGCCTCGCGCGATGCGGATAATGTCCGCTTGAGGGTCCGTGTCGGGGGGAGAAGCGACAAAAAAAAAAAGGACGCGGGGCAGAGAGAAATAATTACAGGGAAGGCCGCGCGTCCGCAAGGCCGAAGACGGTGGGGTGAAGGAAACCGGTATGTGTTAGCGTTTTCGGTACTTCGCCAAACATAGTCCGGACGTGAAATCGGATCAGAACGGTTACGGCGCCGCCCTGAGATCCGTGAACAAAGGTTCGTCTCGTGCCTCTTCGCCAGCTCGACAAAATGTCAAAAACATGTCCCGATTTTGCGTCGAGATCCCCCCCTATAAGGAAGAACTACCGTGGAACTTGGAACGGCTATTGCTTTAATATTATCCAATCGAATGTACGTAACGTCAGGATATTCCATCTTCACTTAAGACACAACGCAGGCAGCAAGAAGCGATAATGCACACGTGTTAGTAAGGTAATGCAGTCTGCAAGCGTGTAACAAGGCCGCCGAGTAAAAATATCGATAGTGATGGATAGATTAGCGATTAGAGAGCCTGGTCCCCCGTGGAAGTAATTTTCGCGGAACTTCGTTTTACGCGTCGGATGGGGGAAATTTTGTACTGTTACAGATTGATCGCGCCAGCGCGCCGCAATCTCGCGGAGTCATCATCGCCAACGCGCGTACACGCCGGGGTACACGCAAAAAGTAGATTAAAAGGATCCATTAAGCCCATCACTTTGTAAGAGTAATGATTTAAACGCGCACTTTGTATCGTAATTCTCTATGGATTCGATAAATCGATGACGGAATATCCGCTATGCCGCTATGCCGTTAACGTGCATTGCATAAACAGATTATCTCTTAAATCACCGAGCATGATTCATCTGTACGCGAACGCGTTTACATTCTTATTTTAATCGGCTATTTTTACAGACGCGGGGGTTTATCGTTAGAGAGAAGAATATACGCTCGCCGTTCGAAAGTTTTCGTGCGGGCGTGTAAAAATAGCCGATAAAAACGCGACCGCGAAGTATGATAAAAATATTCCTCACTCTCCCGAGGGAGAGGGCGCGTCTCTCCGAGCTTTAGGCCTCTCCTTTGGGAAACGTACGCGCGTTATTATGGCGAACGAAAAGGCTGACGTCTATCCGAAATAAATCGCCCGTGCTTTTTCTCACAACGGTCTCGGCCCGATCCTCTTACGTTTATCCTTAATCGGCTTCACGACGCGCATCTCGTTACCTCGCGCTACCTACCGCTGTTTAGAACGATTAGGGCGCGCAGCGAGCGTGTAAGACGATAAAAAGGGGACACCGTGTAATGATTTAACGATGATTCAGGCGAGCCGGGGATTGAAGCCGGTATAATTTCGGTGACTCTGTAGATTCCGTTGATGCTACGGATCTGAGCGTGCAAAAATGATCGTGTTTCTTCGGGTCGATTGATGTCCTCGACAGTCAAGGCGGTGTCGGTTTTAACTCTTTGCACTCCGCGCGTTTTTTTCGATATTGTAAATGCGTCAGTGCTTTCTCATTTTTGTTGTGTTGCTTTATAGAGAATGTATGAATTTATGATAGATATCTCCATTTTCCAGAAAAACAGTTTGCGCTACCACTTAAATGATATCCTCGAAAAACAATAACTGGAGGCATATTGTTGAGTTACGGGACAAGTGACGAATGTCTCCGTAGCGGAGCCAACGGAGCGTTAAGGATTAAACGATGAGAATATTACAAGTAATAAATGGGAAAAGGAAGGGGGAATTTTTTTTTCTACATTAACACATTGTATGGCAAGTTCTGTTGCATGAACAGAATATGAAAACTGACGACATTCTGGACCGATTGCTTTTTTAATACTTCCTTTTAAAAGCAGCTTAATTAGTTACTCTCTCACCTTTAACTGAGTAATTTATAATTTTTGTATTTGTCACTCAGATTGTCACTCAGATTCTTTTGATATTACTGTGTAATTTCCTCTGTCCCGAAATTTATGCATCAAGGGTCTCGTTCCCGTTTAAACGAATTAATTAATTACAAAAACTATTTAAACATTAATAAATAATTAGAACATAATCGTGCATCGTTGATTCAATATATATATTGAATCAAAACATACACACTGAGAGAAAAATGTGTAAAAAATGAAAGTATTTATTCGGTGGGTACTAATGACATATCTGCTTAAATCTAAATTCTTTCATCTAAATATAGAATAAACATCCGCTTTCGTGAAAAGCTGCAAATAAAAAAAAAATGCATATTTTTTCACTTGAAAACATTTTTCTCAGGTAATCTTCCTCTCACTGTAAATACTTTCGATTTACTATCCTGAATAGAATTACTTTGCTATGAACTATCTCACGATCTCACGATAAAACCTAACCTATGTCATTGTACTAGCTGGAATCGTTATATTCTCGAAGTCGCAACTTGTCGGGCAGTCAGTACACGTAACGCTCTTTGTAACGCGAACGCTCAGGAGTACGTGTGCGCGTTTGATTCGCTGATCGGAAAAGACGGAGAAGTTGCCCTTTCGCAACGAGAATTGTAACGAGATCTCTCATATATCAAGAGCGGCCGCGGTTCCAAAGCGGCGATCGACCCTCGGAATTATAACGCTCCCAAAAGAGCCGTCGCGATAAATCTCGGCCGACGCGTCCTAGTCTTTCGCGAGCGCGCGGCGAAATTCGGGAGAAACTCGACTCCAGGCGCGAACACTTTCCCGTCAAGGCCCCATTCTTTATTCCTCGACACTCCCTTGCGTCCTGTATCATCGACACCGACTCACCTATGACGTTATCCGCCGATTCCGCGAGACGGCTCTCTCCTTCTCCGTCGCTCGTTCGTGCAGCCGCCACTATCGCGAACGCGTGCATAATTGCGCGCGGCTCCGATAACGTCCTACCTACGAATGTCTGTGTGTATATAAGTGGAGAGAAACTGCGGGGCACGACAGAGCGAACGCCAGCGGCGTTAGTGCAATACGCCTTGCCGATAGTCGGAGCACGCGCGGATAAAGACGCGAGATACCTGCCTACCTGTTGTGCCGCGACCTAACCGGATCTTTCGCTCGCTCGGTGTGCGGGAAAGCGCGCGACTCCACTTTTTCCCGCAGATCTTCCTTCTCGCTGAGGCCCGTCGGAGGTCCGAAGGAAGCGACTGAACGAGAATGGCGAGGAAAATCGGCCACGTCGTACTGATTGGCGCACTGTTGATCAGGTCAGTCCACGTCGCCGCGCCCTATTTTGCCTTTATTTCAGCCGACACTCAATGGTCGCATTCAGAGGAGAGTTCGGTCGCGTGCGCCTCGAGATTTCACGAATCAAGCACGAAGAGTCGCTTAACTAGCCGGCCGTTTGATATGGCGCATCTAATTTTAAGCTCTACTCGTCTCGCGCGAAGGTCGCGCCCAACGTTACCTTAATTCGTATCACTGTACCGCTAGACGGCCGTATTTAGCACTAAATGCACGCTCGTTAAAGGCGCTCAGTGCTCAGCAGTATGATGATGCAGCTCTCGTAAATAATAACATTTAACTATATCTCCGTGCTGCGGCATTGTACGCGATTTTGCGCGGCAGACGGGCGTGAATCATCCAGTTGCATATAGGCGGTAGCGTACGCACGCCCGAACAAATAAATAAAACGCTATTTATCTAATGGCGTCCCGTACGATTACGTTGCAGCGCTTTTCATGGGACATGCGCCGTAGATTGGGATGATTGGTCGAGAGATTTGACACGTATGACTGAAAACATCGGCGCTGAGGTAGAAAGTTACACTCGGAATCTGGGAGCTAACATACAACGCACTGTACAGAACTCATTGCGCACTTCATTGGAACCTGCGCTTGCAGAGGCCAGGAGAACTCTGCAGAATCTGCCGAGAGGTAATCCGTCGCATTACGATTGTACAAACAGATCGAGTCGAAATTGTCGCCCCATGTGTCGAGCCTTTTATTAGGATAGCATAAAAATGAGATTTGCAGAATTAATGACTCAAGAGAGAAAGTTAACGAGTGCCGATATCGCTTTTATTATGATTTTTCTACTTTTTTTGTCGATACGATACTTTCTTCGTCATTCTTAACGTCGCTTCGGACGACAAATCATTAAAAATATTTAGAAGCGTGATTATAATTTGAAAAATATTGCGCGTCGTATCAGTATTCCCGGATACGCGGACGCATTTATTTCTCTGTCGTGCTTCCTACGCGATAGCATCGGCGTTTTAATACGCAAATATGTGGCCTCCTCCTCGTGTCGTAAATGAAAGGGGGGTCGATATATTTGCATAATAACAGCTTCAATCTAGCCGGTATTCTTTATCGCTATTGGAGATAAACAGTTCGAAGAGCGGACAGAGACGCATAGATTCCAAAATCGCATCGTTTCGCACGCCACGTGACCGGCTTTCCTTTCACTATCGACCAAGATACGGTACAAGACTATGCGCGTTCTCTTGAGTCTCAAGGCGGCCTTTTTCCACTCCATCGGTCGGTTAATCCGATACTGACGTGCAATTTCGCAGGAACGTTTACCTATGCAATTAGCGCGCAGTTAATACCCACGAGCGTATCGAATCGCGTTATCGGCGATTAGTATCGATAAAAATCAGTTGCCTTATAATACCTGCTCAAAGTCGGACACCCGCGCGACAGCTGATGACATTGTAATTTCAAAGCAATTAGCCCGCAATTGTGATTCAATTTTGTGCACTGGGGTGTGTCTCCGAATCACGCCGGTTGTATCGTAATTAAATGCCGCAGTTAGTATCGAAAGGCGGTTAGGTCGAAAGTACCAGCGTGAAATTCCGAGTCAATCTTTTCCGGGACGGAAATTTCCCGAGCTCCCTGTGGCTGCGAGTTTATTTTCAAGCGCATTCATCATTACAATACGCACAAACAGAATGTCGTTTGACATCGTTGATATGCGAACGTCGCGCGCGATATTTTCACAGCTGGTTGCAATCAGAGTAACGATGAATATTAGCATATTATATGGAAATTTTTTCACAGATGCAAACGGCCAGATAATAAGTAACACTGGCAGTAGGATAATAATTAATAGTGGAAACGGCGTGTCAAGGTCGATCGTGTCCGGTCACACACCGGACGGGGAATCGTATGTGCGGGACGTCGAGGAACGATACGAGGGAAATATGCTTTATCACAATGAAACCAATTATAATCCGAAAACCAAAACCAAGGTGAGGATTTGCTGGAAACTGGACCTCACGAAATCAAGTGCCTCGCCTGAAACCATTCAGGACTGTTGAAATGACGTACTTACATACTATTATTACACTTCATATTGTGTATAAATAATCATATGAAGAACTCTTTTGTCTTAAGTTATCGAGGAAAATTCGGGAATAAAACAACGAGACAAAAGACGAAATTAAATCTACGCTAATCACTCTACTAATCGCGAACAACTTATTGACGACGAGCGTAGAATTTTCGCCGATTAGTATTTGATTGGATTTCCTTTTTCACTATCCGCAAATTAGAAGGACGTAATTAGAAGGATATATGTATACAATTTCGCACATTTCTCGCAACATCGTTATCCCGCGCATCGGATGAGCGCGAAACGGTCGTAAAGAACGACTGCAATATGAGTTACGCGGCGAAAGCCGCACAATTATCGCGTTACACCAACCGACAAAGCGAGCACGGCGAATTTTTAATTACGGCCCCGTAACGCTTCGTGATTAAACTCCCGATTAAAATATCCCCCGCGACGTTATCGGTTTCGCGCTGTCGATATCACGGGCGGTATCTCACGATCGCATGTTTCATGCTGTTTCGTATTACGTGTATTCAGTCGAACAAGCTCGCCGTAATGAAGAATTCCTCGGTTGACGTGCTTGAAACTTCATTCCGATAGCGTGAATCAAGTTCTTCCCGGTCGACGTAAAAGTTACTCTTGCCACCGTAACTTGTGCCCGCTTTTATTCGCTTAACAATGTGACCGTTTGTTCTCTAGCGTTATCATTATTCGTAATTATCGGTTATACGTCGTTTAATGTAGCGCGTATAGTTATTTAATCGTTGTAAAAAATACATGACGTCGAAGGACCGTTTCAATCGCGAGCGAGGAAAGCGGATGAAGAGGGAGTGAGAAGCGGGCATAAATTTTCACGGGAAAGAGGCTCGGCCAATAAAGAATCATTTGTTACGATATACGACTACGAAATTTCGAGGGAGGATGGGCGGGATAGCGATCTTGCTTTCGATGCACATACAGAATGTATACACGCATGGGATACAAACGTGACGTACACGTATGTACATAGTGGCACAGTGGCGCCGAAGCGTTTCGCATCCAACGAGGAAAATACTCTCTTTCTCTCTTTATTATCGACATTATTAGTAATTATAATCGTGACAAATGCTTTCGTCGATAACGATAAAGGGAAGGTACGTATTATTTCTATTACTTCTGCGCTCCTCTCTCTACCGCTGTAATAACATCTTATTTCAGTCGAGTCGGTGACATTTATTATTGTATTTGCCGGGTTTATCTTTCGCGAGCTCGTAAAAATCGTTAAAAGCTGTAAAAAAAACCACGTTTATTACCTTCACATGTTGTCGTAAAGCGGAATCGTGGGTCCGCCCGTCGCGCTGCAATTTTCACGACTCTGTTTTCCACGCGACGAATTTTATTCTCCGAAAACAACGCGAGACGAAATCCGAGGCATCAGCGAGCCGAGCGTTTTGTGCCCGCCGATCCTAATTGACGAAACAAATCGCGCGGGAGCGACGGGAAATTGCAAGACTAACGCCGGAAATGTGGAAAAATACGCACTTGCGGATCGCGCGAACCGGCGCAAAAACGAAAGTCGACGTATAGGTAAGCTCACGAGGATGACACACTCTTCCCTCCTGCTTTCTCCCCTTTCGCCTTCCGATTCTACGCCATTGCCGGTAGATTTACATGCGCATACAAAGGGATACGTAATACGAGACTCCCCTACACGCCGCCTCGGCGAAGGATACACCCACATGAGTTTCGATACGTGCGAGATCGACCGGCCGGCTTCTTTTTTTCTTATTTTTAATGGATGGATGTGGGATCATTGTCTACGCGTGACCACGGCCTAACGCGTGGGAGTAAGGGAGGTGGGAGACCGTCGAACATCAAGCTGGCCCTTGAAATTTGATTACTCCTGAAGTGCGTAAAAAACTCAGCGTGGTCCCAAGTGTCCCGCCAAATGCGCGTCTAACGAGCCTCCTCGCGCTTTCTCGGCCGGGCAGACGTTCCGAGAGAAAACGCAGACGATTACAATATCATTTCCACGTGGGTCGATTCGGGAGGTGCGCCGCGAGTAGCCGTCGAAGTTCGTCCGTCTTTGACACCGCTCGGGCATCGCATGCCTCGGTCAATCACGTCGGCGTAATTTCCCGCCGGACGTCTGATGTTACCTAACGCATAGTCTCCGGGAATATAAATACGCGGCAAGTGGCGTGTGATTAGCGTTTCACCCGAGAACGAGAAGTGGAACGGTCGACGGTGCGTTCAGGTAGTAACCGCGGGATCGGACGACCGGGTATCCTCCGGCGACGTACGAAATGGTTATCCTTTCGCCCGGTTCGTGCGAGACGTCTTTCCCGAGGTAAGACCTGCGCGTATTCGATCGCGAATAATCGACGTCGCTCGCGATAAAATCAAGCTCGCGGAAATCCCGCGATTCCGCGTTTCTTCGCTGCCGCGACTGNTTTCACGGTAAGTCATTAAAATGCATGACCGCCGCGAGACCGGGCGAGGGCCCGGCCAGATGAAATCTTCAGGATGGAAGCCTCTCGTTAGGACGCTAATTTGTCAGGCCCTGTGACACAGGGTCTCCCGAAATACATCGTTACAGATCGTAATCGCCGGAAGGCCGCGGAAGACGTCTTCTGACCGGCGGCGGAAACATCGAGAAGGTAAGTGGAGGAGGAGGACGAGTCGCGGAGGCATCTTGATTTACGGAGAGAGAAAAAGTCCAAGGGGAAATTTCTCTTCTCGCCGAGATTGGACGTTTCGAAACGCACTGGTTCCTTCCTCGATACGAACGCCCTCGGAAATTACCGTCACTTACTTCCGCAATTAATATCTGAATATTTAATTATATAACGTAGCGTAAGTAATTAGGAGCGCGTTTCGCGATTGAATAACGCGTAGCGCCTGTCCTAACTAAATAGGAATAATCTGAGATCTCTCGTTAATCTCGTCTCTGTTTACTCGTTAGTAATTTTCCACTTACGTCGATTCGAACGTTACCCTATCGTTGCTACAATTACGAGATGCTCGCGCGCGCGAGCACCCTGACGATCGCCGGCCAGACATCTTCATTCCACGAAGCTTTTTACATTCAAGCGCCTCGATAACGGCGCTAATTACTACGGGGATACCGGTAAGGATATTTATATGTCCCCCCGCACACGCACACGCGCTCCCACTCGCGCGTGCGTGCGTGCGAACGCGAGGTAGGCGATTCGGCCTCGAAGGTAATAACAGCGCGCGCGGTTTGTGTCCCCCTTTTTTTCCTCCGGTCCTCCGCCCTCCTCCCGCCCTGCGGCCGCCAGATGCGAATTTTTTTCGGAATTTCATCGGGACTCGCGCGCGTCCGTCGCTATATTAATTTCTACTTTATATGCCAATTGCAGCGCTACGAGCTGCGGCAGCGGGCATGGGCGCGCGTCTCGTAACTCATCGAAAATTATGCGGCGCGTTACGGCGCTTCGACGCTTCGTTACTTTACGAGGGTGCAGCAGCCCTGGCGCTCCTCTTCCTCTCTCGCACTTTCTCTCTTCATCTCCCTCTCTCTTTCTCCGCCTCTAGTCGACTTGGCGCTTTTTGGATCACGCACGAACGCATTTCGCCGAAGAGAAAATTGGACTCGAAGTGAGACCCGGCAATCTGAGGAGGCGTAATTTCAGCGACTTCGGTTTTCGATGCTGTAGATACGGAATAATGTATCTGATACCGCGATTACCACGAATAAAGATAAATATCGTTTATTCCCCGAAATTATATTAGTTTCTTACGCGGAGAAAAATATTTCGCTGGCCCAGCAAATTGTTAATTATTACAGGGACAACAACAAAAATTTGTTCGGACAGCAAAAAGATTTGTTAAGAGTATTAATTGTTATTTGTTGGATATATAGACAGCAAAATAATTTAGTTATGCCAACTAAATTTTAGCGCTGTCATTACAACAGTTTTACTGTAACAATAAAATTATTTCTCCCGTGTAACAAATCTTCTTGTTGTCCATATAGTAACTAACAACCTGTTGTGCCGGCAAAATGATATTTTCCGTGTGGCTAAGATTACACCGACCCTTACAGGAAAGTATTACTGGCTGTAATAAATTGGTCAGTTATAAATTATTGCTGCTGAGTAATTTTATTACTCGTACGAGAACGCTGCTATTTATCGCTGGTCAATTCGTCATAGCCAGTAATACTTTTCTGTAAGGGGAGGAGCTTCAAAAATTCATTAGAAAGAAATAATTGATAAAGCGTGCATCTATTGTCCAATGTGTGTGTGTGTGTGACAATAGAATATTAAAAAAAAAGTTGTCACATTGTGTACACCATGAAATAATCAAAATCAAAGACGCTACCTCTTTCTTTTTTTAATCTGACAATGACCAGAATATATCGAAGTGGACCTGAAAGGAGGTTCGATTACACGTTATAGATATTCCAGATGATTCCATCGCGTAATAAACGACGGACGACGATAAGAAACGGGGAAAAGGGAGAAATAATAATCACCCGATCCGCCGCTTCTCCGACCAGTTCCTTAGCGCGGACTCCGGAATCGCTTAAAAAACTGGAATCAATCTCGAAGTAGGGCGATCCGAGTGTTTTCGCAAAAATTATCGACTATACGCGAACGTTAGTTATCGCGTATCCCCTCGCGCTTATTGGTTGCGCCTTATTCGCCCATCCGATAATCGCCACCGATATTTCTCCCGGCGCTTATTAACACTGTCGCTATTATCGAAGGCGCGTACACACTCGGCCGTATTTTTCGCGGTTTTATCATCGACCGCCTGCGGACTTTATAGTGGTCGTAATTTAAATGCGCCGCGCGGAAAATACACGCGCGCGCCGACGAAAATACAAGGTAATAACCCCGATATGGTTCCGCCGCGACGGGGACGCCTCGCGCGGCCGACTCTTTTCGCGAGCCCTCGCCACGAGGAGTTTCACTCAGTGGCGTGGCGCGCGCTCCGCGCACTACCAACTTAATTTCTACTTTATATACCAATTATGCCATTTCGAGGCGCACGGCGACGCGACCCAGTGCGACCGTTTGCTTCGTAACTCCTCGCGAATTATAGCCGGTATTACCGCTTCGACGCTTCGTTAATTTACGAGGCGGCGAGTCCTACGGGGGCCCTCCGGTTAACTTCGATCGCG